CACTTTGAGGTCTATTTTGTCCGATATAAGTATTGCTACCCCAGCTTTCTTTTCCTTTCCATTTGCCTGAAAGATATTTTTCCATCCTTTCACTTTCAGTCTGTGTGAGTCCCTTCTAATGAGGTGGGTTTCTTGTAGACAGCAGGTGTATGGGTCATGTTTTTTTATCCATTCAGCCACTCGATGTCTTCTGTTTGGAGCATTTAGTCCGTTTACGTTTAAAGTTATTATTGAAAGGTACTTGTTTGTAGGCATTTCTGTTTTTGTGTGGCTGTTTTCTTTCTGAGCTTTTTATTTCTTATTTTTTATACCAGTCCCTTTAGCATTCCTTGCATTGCTGGCTTGGTGGTGATAAACTCCCTTAGCCTTTTTTTGTCTGTGAAGCTTCTTATTTCCCCTTCAAGTTTGAATGATAGCCTTGCTGGATAGAGTATTCTTGGATTCAGTCCTTTGCTTTGCATCACTTTGTAAATTTCCGTCCATTCTTTTCTGGCCTGATGTGTTTCTGTTGAGAAATCATTTGACAATCTAATGGGAGATCCCTTGTATGTAACTTTCCGTCTCTCTCTTGCAGCCTGTAAGATTCTCTCTTTGTCCTGAACATTTGCCATGGTAATTATGATGTGTCTTGGTGTGGGTCTTTTTGGGTTCACCTTGTTTGGGACTCTCTGGGCTTGTGTGACTTTTTTCTTCCCCACCTCAGGGAAGTTTTCTGATATTATTTCTTCTAATAGGTTTTCTAATCCTTGTTCATCCTTCTGTTGTTCTGGTACCCCTATTATTCGTATGTTGTTTCGTTTCATGTTGTCCCAAAGCTCCCTTAGGCTCTCCTCCTGTCTTTTAATTTTTTTCTCCAATTGCAGTACATTTTGGGTGTGTTTTGCTTCCTTGTCTTCTAATTCACTAATTCGGTCCTCCGCTTCTTCTAGTCTACTGTTGATACTTTCAATGGAGTTTTTCATTGCAGCTATATCACTCTTCATTTCTTCTTGGTTCTTACTTAAGTTGTTGATTTTTTCATCTGTTTCTTCTAGCTTCTTCCATATGTTATCAATTTTTTCATCTGTTTCTTCTTGCTTCTTGCAGAGGTTGTCGATTTTTTCCTCCATCCGGTTTATGCACTCTAGGACCTTTATTCTGAATTCTTTTTCTGTCATGTTGCATGCCTCTGTATTACTTAGCTGCTTTTCTGGAGAGTCCTCCTTCTCTTTCCTTTGGGGGTTTCTTTGTCTACCCATGTTTGATCTCACTGACATATCTAGACGTTGAGTCGTTCAGTGGCTGCTCCCTTGGTGGCAGTGACTCCTTGGTCTGTGGTTGCTCTTCGGGCGGTTGCGGTAGCAGCTGCTCTTCAGTTGGCAGCAGCTCCTCTGGTGGGTGCTGTTCACAGCTGTGGTGGCTCTTCTGACTGGTGGGGTGAGGTTTCACGTACAACTGCTGTTCCTCAGCAGAGGGTGTGGTGCTCAGGAGGTTGCTGTTGCTTGGATCTGCTGCGTTGATTTAAAGGCACAAAATACAACACAACAAGGCACCACGTACCAGGCACTATACACAAATATATTCACGATATTAATAACCCCAAATAAAGGTGACCACCTGGATTAAGAGAATTAGGGGATAAGGAAGAAGGAAGAGAAAAAGATAAAAGAGAAAAAAGAAAAGAAAAGTAGGGACCAAAAAAAGGAGTGCAAAAATGAAATTGGGAAAAAGGAGGGGGGGAAATAAAAGCGAGAAAAGAAAAGAAAAGAAAAAAAAAGAGCGAAAAGAGAGAATGAAGTGGAAGAGGGGAAGAGACTTTTTTTATATGAGGAGAATACTCCTATAGAACAGACATTAATCCCAACAAATTCCAGCAACAGCTCCCTGGAGATGAATGCAAACTAGAAACAACCAATAATATAACGATGAAAATAGAATGGAGAACACTAATCCCAAAATAAAATAAAGAGAAAATAAAATGGCACTTTAAAAAAAAATGGTAAAATGGTAGCAGTAATAATACGGGTTAAAAATAAGAAGGTAGTAATTAAAAGAGTAAAATCAGGTGATGGAAAAAAGAAGAAAAAAAAAAGAAGAAAAGAAAAAAAAGAAAAAAAAATGGTTTCTTAGTTAAAAGGTGAAAAAAGAAAAAAAATATTGCAGTAGTGAAGGTCCTTCGGTTCTTCTATTCTTCAGTGTGGCTCGCCTTAGACCTGCCAGGTATTCAGGAGGGTGTTGAGTTTCCCTGCGATACACTGTTCCTCTGTGTTGTAAACCACAGTCCTTATTTTAAAGCAAGCCGCATTTGTTTCCCAGACTGCCTTATTTTGTGTTTAGCAAAGAGTCAGTTTGTGGGTCAGCCTCTGGGTGGCAGTGTTCTGGGGTTGGCCTCTGAGGCTATAGGGCCGCTCTGTCCAATGGAAGTTCACTGCCCAGAGCTGGCTGCGTAATAGTTACCGGTGCTGTGTTGTTGCTGGGATTGAGTCAATTTTAAGAGTTCCATATGCCAATGTTATTTGGGTCAAGTACAGTCAAATGTTCCTACTAATGTTAGTGTTCTAAGTGGTTGTGGTACAACACAGAATCTGTGTAAGTAGAGCTTAATGAAAGATTCTGTGAAATCTTAGGATTAATATGGCATATATCATGACACCAGTCCTAACTTCACAGTGGCCTAGACCACTTGAATGTTGTGTCTCTAACAATTTAGTAGAACTGAAATTATAAAAGTGGCTGGTAATTAGCTTTTTATTCTTCATTTTGTACCCAAGCATTTAGCAATTCAATGCCATTCTGGATGCAGGGAGTCAGCTTCCAGAATATCTCCCTTATCATATCCTCCCCTCTGAACCAGATAGGCCACAGTGCAAGCATGGGATGGAAGCACAGCAATGGGGAAGAAGATCTGAAATTATTTCAAAATGTGGGGAGGAGCTCTAGCTTTATTTGCATGAAAATAGCTACATACTAACATCTAGACTTTATTCCCATCCAAGGCTTTGCAGTTTGGGAAAGCTTCAGATGTAAATACACAGGCACTTGGTGATAATCTTATTTTATTCAATAGTTTGAATTGATTTTCTCTTCATTCCCTCTTATTCACCCACACAAAAATCTTACCACGTACTCTATGCTGGTTGTTCTCCAATAAATTTTCATTCTACCCTCAGATTACATCTTTTCCTCCTCCATGGATAACCATATTACAATGTCAAGCAAATGAGAGATTTATTATTTTTATTATTATACTAGAGGCCCAGTGCGCGAAATTCATACACTGGGGGGGGGGGGGGTCCCTCAGCCTGACCTGCACCCTCTCACAGTCTGGGTGTTTTTGAGGGATGTCCAACTAACTGTTTCATGGGGAGCAGGCCTAAGCCATCAGTTGGACATCCCTAGCGCTGCTATAGAGGCGAGAGAGACTCCTGTCACCACCGCTGCGTTCCCCATCCGTGAGCCCAGCTTCTGACTGAGCGGAGCTCCCTCTGTGGGAGCGCACTGACCACCAGGAAGTAGCTCCTGCATTGAGCATCTGCCCCCTGGTGGTCAGTGAGCATGATAGTAACTGGTCGTTCCACCCTTCAGTCGATTTGCATATTAGCCTTTTATTATATAGGACTAGTAGCCTGGTGCACAAAAATTTGTGCACTCGGGGGTGGGGGGTTAGGGGTGGGGCCAGACACCTCAGCCCGACCTGCACCCTCTGTCATGTTCCGGGACCCCGGCCATTCCTGGCCTGGGCACAGGCCTACAGGCTTGGGGTGGCCTGGCTCCCGAGGCCCCATTTTATCAAGAAAACAAAGTCAGCATTAGTTATAGCCCTCACCAAACCCAGTACAGTGCATCTGTGTGTACAACTGCCTCCTTCATGTGCCTGCTTCGCCCTACTGAATTACTAACATCTTAAGGACATAGCTCTGTCTTATCCTGCTTCAATTTCAGTGCCTGGCCTGGTGCCAGGGACCTGAGAGAGTTTGCTGAGTGAGTGAGTGAATAATGAGTGAGTGAATGAGTAAATGAATGAGTGAGTAAGTGAATGAGCAAGTAGCTATGGGGCGGGAACTTCTGCCGTGTTGCCATGGCAACGCAGCAGAAGTTCCGGCTGGGCTCCTGGCTGCCTGATGCAAACCGCAGGAAGTTCCCACCCCGCTCCCAGCAGCCAGGTGCCCCTCTCCTGGCTGCATTGTTCGCACCCTGCTCCCAGTGGACAGGTGCCCCTCTCCTGGCTACATTGTTCGCACCCCGCTCTCCACTGCCTGACGCAAACCCCAGGAAGTTCCTGCCCTGCTCCCAGCAGCCCCACATCCCTCTCCTGGCTGCATAGTTCACGCAGGGCAAAGGCGGACCAGGTTCTCCACCTTTGCCCTGCCACCCGGCTCTTGCCTGCTGCCTGGGTTTCTGATCACTGTCAGTGGCAGGCGGCTTCTTTCGTCCTTCCCCTTTCGCCTCCCATCATTGTGCCTACGTATGCAAATTAACCGTATTCAAATTGTTGGCGGTTAACCACCATCTTTGTTGGCAGTTAATTTGCATATTGCCCTGATTAGCCAATGGGAAGCGTAGCGGAGGTATGGTTAATTACCCTTTTTGTCTTTTATTAGATAGGATATTAACATCCTCAGCAGTGCAAAGTTAAATAAATATTATTTGCTTTATATAGAGTTTGCAAAATTATTGTAAGTCACAAGAACACATAATGTTCCCCACATTTATTTCTGTAGTTTTTTTTACTAAAAATGGGATAAAAGCTAAATCTTGTACCTCTGTGAATTTCTTTAACTTAGTTCCCAAAGGTTGTCCATCATGAAGGGTTTGGTATTCTGTCTCTGCTTGACCTTTCATAATGAATATGATCATTTGTCTTATTCTGTTCAGAAAAAAAATATTTATTTTTCTGTACATAAAAATGTAGTTTTTTCCTTCTTATATTTTCTTTTATTCTTTGTCTTGCACCTTGAAAGTGGAAATGTACTAATAAAACAAACTGGGGAAATGAAAGAAGGAATCACTTCAAATTGTATATATGCATGATAAATTTTATGTCAACAAGGCATCAAGGACAGAAAACTTGTAAAATAAATGAATGCAAGTTGAGACAGAATCCATCTGGAAGAAGCAGGATGCTCACATGTGGAGCAGAGCTAGAAGGAAATTATGCATCGAGCAGACAGTTTCATTTTTCGGTCAGATCGAGGTGACCTGCAAAGCTTCTTCTGCAATTCCATATCTCTGAAATGGCCTATAAACAAAAATGCATTCCATTCTACTGAGTTTTTCTCCTTTAGATACCAGTTTGGGAAGCGATCCAGTCCCGGAGGGCAGTCACTCTAGTATAAACACCAGGCTTATTGGGCTGCCCGCATTCATCTCCCCAGCTCACTATTCCAGCAAGGTACCAGATATCTCTAGCATCTGCACTAACCAGTGGTCCTCCAGAGTCACCCTAAAGGAGAAGGAAAAGATTAGTAATTAATAATTCACTCATTACAGAGGAATTTGCAATTTTTCTTCTAACTTAAGTCTAATGGAAGGGCAGGTTTTCAAAAGTCTTCAGTGTGTTCAAATGCACAAGTGATTCCCTCTAAATCATAATTCACATAAAGGAGAAGCTTAACCACCAGAATTGGCTTAGCCTCAGGGTTCACACTGAGATTAAAGGCTCAGTCTCTTTGGAGAACAGAATTCTTAACCTACCTGGTACATCTGACAAAGTAATTCTCCATACTCGTTGCCTCTTTACCAGTGTCACGTAGCTCTCAAAAGAAAGGTGATTAGTCTATTGCTGATGATGAGCATGGACATAAGAGTCAAATACCTGGGCTTAAATCTCAAGTCTGGCCCTTTCAAGTTGGCTAAGACCTTTAATTTACTTATTTGAAATGCTCCTAATACTGCCTACCTCTGATAATTATTTTGAAGATTATATAAAAGAGTGTCTAATGTGCTTAGCATAGAGCCTAACACAAAGCAGAACATAGCAAATATATATACAAAACCATAAATTCCAACTGTTTATACCTTGTGAACTACAAAGGGCTGTTCCTTATACCAGTCATAAAAACAAGGTACTGGCTGATCAGATTCCTGGGTTCTGTACTTATTGATCACTCATTAAGTGTTCAGCATTCTATAAAGACTTAATTAATTAATATATTATTTCATTCACTCTTATAATTCTGGCAACAAAACATGGGGTTATGTTTCATTTTGTCCATTTTAGCAATAAGGTAACTGAAACCCACAGAAGTTAAGTAATTTGCCTGTTGTCACATGCTAGTGTGGCAGACGTGAATGTGAATCTAGAGTGATCTAACTCAGAAGCCCATGTTTTCCCTCTACATTATACTAATTTCCTTGTGAATTTTCCTTTGTCCATGTAAAACTATTAACTAATACTTATAATAGCTGAATTTTAAACAATGTATTTGTAATTTTTTTCTTTTTTTCTATTTTTCTTTATTGATTGAGATATTACATATGTGTCCTTGTCCCCCCTTGTCCCCCCACTCCCCCACTCATGCCTTCACCCCCCTGTGTCTGTGTCTATTGGTTAGGCCTATATGCTTGCATATAAGTCCTTTGGTCAATCTCTCCTCCTTACCCCCACCCTCCCCTACCTGTATTTTTTAAATACATTTTTATTGATTTCAGAGAAAGGAAGGGAGAGGGAGAGAGAGATAGAAACATCAGTAATGAGAGAGAATCATTGCTCAGCTCCTTCCTGCATGCCCCACAAAGCCTGCAACCTGGGCTTGTGCCCTGAGTAAGAATCAAACCATGACTTCCTGGTTCATAGGTCGAAGCTCAACCACTGAGCCACGCTGGCCAGGCAACGTGTTTGTAATTTTTAAGTCAATTACCAATAAGTGTTTACTGATGCCCTAATATGTGGTAGGTAGGAGATAAGAGTGGAAACACATGGGCCTTGCCCTCAAGGGGCCTACAATCTATTTATAGAAATAAGATGTACCACATGGTGCTATTTGAAAATAAATCATTTTGATCATTAACACCAAAGCCTATATAAAGGCAGAGCTAATTAGCATGAAAAAATAGTAGATGCCAGAGACAACAAAGTTTAAATCTGTTTAAGAGACAGAAATGAAGAAGTCTGAGAATGAATTAGTCAAAGAAAATATATTACAATGTCTCCAACAGCATTACAAGATGGAAAATAAGGTGGTGTCCAGCAAGTATCAAATAGAGAAAGATATACCTGTTCTGCTAACACTAGTGGTAGAAGTGATGGTTTATATGTGCTTTGTCTCATCCAGGGAAGCCAGAATAATTGGAAGATAATTATAATCTTCAGATGAAAAGGAAGCCTTTGGGGTTCTATTTTAACAAAATGCTTAAAAAAACCCTCTGCCTAGGACTACACCTCCCAACCTACACACACACACACACACACACACACACACACACACACACACACGGGCACACACCAGTCCTGCTTAGTTCTTAGATCCTGGCAGGTTGGGCTTCCTCCTCTGCTTAGGGCTACACTCCCAGATGCATTGTCTCAGTCCCAGAAAACCAGGTATTTCCAGTCATTATTTCTACGCAATTTTAACATCCCCTAAGTCAGCCACCAGCTGCCCTGAGCATTCTTCCTGCCTACACTGTCCAAGTTATTTTTCAAGGTACAATTATGTATTGTGGTTAATTCTCAGGTTACACAGTTGCATAGCTTGCTAGGCCAGTGTTGCTCAATGGTTGAGCATCGACCTATAAATCAGGAGGTAGCAGTTTAATTCTTAGTCAGGGCATATGCCGAGTTAGGGGGCGTGCAGGAGGCAGCCAATCAATAATTCTCTCTCATCATTGATGTCTCTCTCTCTCTCCCTCTGCCTCTCCTTTCCTCTGGAAATCAATAAAAAATATTTTTTAAAAGTTGCATAGCATTTGTGGGGTCTGCTGATCTGTCTCGAACCCTATTTTTTTCATAAATCCTATTATTTTTAGTGAGTGATTTAGTGGGAAAAGGAACAGAAAGTTTATTCAAAATGCACATAACAAAAACTTCTAAAATTAAAAGTAAGAAGCCAAACCAGGAAGCAACTTTAGTGATCAAGAAATGAAGTAATGAAGGAATGAATTGGAGTGTTAACAAAAGGAATGTTGGCAAAAGAGATAAACATGGAAATATGATAAAGAGGAAAAGTATTCTAGGACTTGATTGACTCCATGTGAGGGAGATAGAAGAGTAAAAACCCCAAGAATAATGAAACCCGATAATATGAATGAGAAACTTGAAAATGGAAAATCTAGTTAACATTTCATGATGCCTGTTGAGTTTGTGATGGCACAAATACAAATATTAGTCTTATATTAACAACTTAAAACATATAAATGAAAATGGTTTGGGAGTAGGTGGAAATGTGAGACTGAATGTGGGCATGAGGTTAATTCTAGACATGTAGATTTTGAAGTCATTAAAGTGATACTGACTTCTAAAAAAAAGATACCTTCTTTTAATGAATACATGGATAACAGAGAAAAATTTCATCTGAGACCTGAGTCTCAAGGCATAGCCAGGCTTAGAGAGGGGATGAGAAAGAAGAATCAAAAGGAGAAAGCAGAGCTGAGTACTGCAGCAGGGGGTTGAGGATGAGGTATTTTTGCATATATTTAAAATTTCTGTAATAAGATTTTTAAAATAAAACTAAAGAAGCATACAGCTGTTCCTCTGAAACTTTTAATAAGAACATTACTATTAATAGAGGTTGCAGTATTTGAATGAAAACCTTAAGTGATGATCACACATGTGAAAGCACAAGATGTTTTCAATAGTTTTAGTAAAGTTGAAGGCAAATAGGATGAAGGGGATTACGATGAGAGAAGATGTACAATAATATCTATACAGTGATTGTAGATCTGGTTTGTATGTCTATCAAAAAGTCAAATAAAATACAGCTAAATCAACTAAGTCTCATTGTTTGGGGTAGTTATGTTCTATGAAGTTGCTGCATAAACTGAATTAGTGAATTATGAATCATCATTGCTCCTAGGGGAAATAAAGGGTTAGGCTTCCATGAGTCTTTGTTCAGATTTTTGTCAATTGATCAATACATAACCACATTTTTTGTGTGTTTCTGTTTAAAGTTACCTTATTTAACATATATTATTGATTCATTAACATTGAACCCACAGCCAGCAGCACTATAACTCATGCCTGAATGAGGTTTATCTAACATACTTATTTTCTTCATAAGGCACATCACAGCTTTCTTGCACTTTACTTCAGAACTATACACTGGGGACTATTTAAAGTAGCAAAATCGCCAACAAAAAGCACAAAAAATGTGGAAAATGTAGCATTAAATTTGTCACAAAAAGAGCATAAATTTATGCTGTTAAAACTAAACAAGAAGGCAGCATCACCTTTTTCAATCTGAGGTAAGAGCATGCTCACTGGATGACTAAAAATGTTTTCCAATGTGTGCATGATCATGAATTTGCCTTGAGTATTGACTTTGGGTTTTCAAACAAATCTTAGCAAGTAGATGAATTCACATGTACAGAATCTGCAAATAATGAGGATCAAGTGTAATTTCCAGTGAATCTTATTAAGTTGGTTTTATTTGAGTAGGTTTATTTACAGAATCAATTTTGAAATTTTTGTAGAATGTTGTATTGGAACCAATCTACATTCCTTTATGAACAAACAGAGCCTCAGAGCAGAAAAAAGAAACACAATGAAATTAGTTTAATCTTGAGTATTTGCCAGAATGTGAAGAGAGGGTCAATTGGGTGAAAGAGGTTAATGTGACAACTGAGCAATACTAATGTGACTGACCCAGAGATAAATGTTGGGGAAGGACTATGGTGAAGTCAACTGTGCATTAAGGGAAGAGATGCCAATGCAATGAAGGGGGGAAAACAGGTGCAGTATGTATGTGAGAGAGAAAAAAAATGGAAAGTTGAAAAAAACCTTAAAAAATAATTATATCCACTCTGTGAATCCAGACTGGAAAGCATACAGAATAGCATGGAATTTCAAAGACCAAAATAAGGCTTAGAGAGCACATTAAATGTAATATCTATCAAATCCCAAAATAAAAATTATAGGAGTATATAGGGACATACTCAAGGAATTACTTATTAATCCCCTCAAAGATTATATCAAGTAATGTTCATGAAGACATATAGTTCATGGTTGTCATATCTGGCTAAGGTTCAAAGTCGACAGTGATAGCCTATGTACTGAAAAGCAAAATCAGAGTTCAAAAAGATGTCTATGCAATGGACAGAGATGGAATATACTTATTCCTTTTATACAAAGTAAATACCTCTAAGGAAAAAACATAAAACTGTGGACACTATAAATAAAGCAAATATTAAAAAATCTGAGTCCTGGCCAATATAGCACAGTCAGTTGGAACATCATTTGGTGTCAAGGGAGGATGAGTGGAGAATGAGGCAGCACCTCCCTCCTGCCTCCAGTGTCATGTCAGAGGAGGCCTGTTAAAATAGGAGATTTAAATAAGATCTAGAGTCTCATAACAATACTCAAAATGTCAAGGGTACATTTAAAATGTATTATCATACCAAGAACCAAGAAAATCTCGAATGAGAGAAAGCAACCAACAAATACTGACACTGAGGTTTGGAATTATCTGACAAAGATTTTAAAGCAGCCATTGCAAAAATGTCTTCATGGGAAATTATGACCATGCTTGAAACAAATAAAAAATAATAAGTTTCCTCAAAGAAATAGCAGATATAAAAAAAGAATCAAATGGAAATTTTAGAACTGAAAAATACAATAATCAAAATAAAAATTTTAAAAACTCAATATAAGATGACAAAATAAAAAATCAGTGAATTTGAAGATAGAATGATAGAAATTACCTAACCTGGACAATAAAGAGAGTGAAAAAGAAAAAATGAACAACAGAAGCTCAGAGACCTCTGATACTATAACAACAGAACTAATGTCTCTGCCATTAGAGTCCCTGATGGAGAGAAAAAAGAAGAGGGTCAGGCTAAAAACTATACAAAGAAATAATGGCTGAAATTTTTCCAAATTTGTCAAAGGGCAGACACCTGCAGATTAAAAAGCTGAGCAAACCCCAAATAGGCTAACCCAAAGAAATCCATTCCAAGGCACATAATTAAACTTCTGAAAACTAAAGACAAAGAAAAATTTTTGAACACAGCAAGAGAGAAATGCCAACCTATCTATAAGGAAAAAAATAATTATAATACTAGCAGTTTCCTCATTAGGAATCAGGAGGCCATAATTTAAGTGCTGGTGGAAAAAACTATACATCCCAAATTCTATATCTGGCAAAATTATGCTTCAGAAATTAATAGGAAACAAGTATTTTGCCAGACAAAGAACATCTAAAGAAATTTGTCACCAGCAGAACTACACTAAAAGAATGGTCAAAAAAGTTTCTGAAGCAGAAAAGAAATGATAAAAAAGAAACTTAGAAAACCAGAAAGAAAGAAAGAATGAAACTATGGGTAAATACACTTTCCTTTTCTTGAATTTTCTATGTTTGGCACTTGAAGCAAAAATATTGTATGATGTGGTTCCCTATACATATAGAGGAAATATATAATATTTTATTTTATTAATATTTAATATTATAAATGGAGAAGAGTAAAGAGATTTGAAAGGAGGTAAGTTTTCTGTTGTATACTCCACTCAAACTAGTAAAATCTGAACACCAGTAGATTGTGATAAGTTATATGTGTATAACTTAGAGGAACTACAAAGTGTATTGTCCGTAAAGAAATAATCTAGTCAAAAACACTAATAGGAATTTTTAAAAAGTTACTTTGTAATTCTATTTATATAGCATTCTCAAACTTACTCTCAAAATTATTGATATGGAAAACAGGTTGGTGACTGACAGGTATGAGTGATGAGAAAGTGATGAGGGAGGAAAGTGGGTGTTATAGGAGATCTTTGTGGTGTTGAAATAGTTCTCACCTGCAGTGGTGGTTACACAAATCTACACATGTGATGAAAGGCCATAAAGCTAGAAGCACACACTGTACCAATGTCAATTTCCTAGCTTTTATGTTGTACTATAGTTATGTGAGATGTCACCAGTAGGGACATTGAGTGAGGTGTACATAGGAGCTCTCTGTACCATCTCTACAACTTTCTGTAAATCTATAATTTTTTTCAAAATATGTGGTGAGCAAAAATCTATGCAGCATAACTTTTTTGGCCAAAAAGTTATAGGTCAAACCACTTACCTGGCATGCATCTCTTTTTCCTTCCAAGGAGCCAGCACATAACATCCTAGGAGTTATGGTATTATTGTAAGCTTGAGGTTTATTGCAGGTTTTAGTGTCTATGAGATTCACCTGCACTTGCCGAAGATGATTTTGACTGCTACCTAAAGCAAAAAAATAGTCTTTATATTTATTGATATACATATGTTTTATAGACCTGAAGAAAGTCTTTCATAATTATCGGATAAGATGATAATATAGAATCTTAGGCTATATATTTTTTAGATACAGTAATATTTGGGGAGATCATGTTTTTCTAAGCACTTTAAATAAGAAGTTAGGTGCCCAGGAAAAAAACCTCAAGTGGTGTAAGTATTTTATATTCCATTGTTAAGCTTAGCAGGTAATTTTAATAGGAGGGCATGGTGGTTTTATGATTCTTTGATCTTCACCATTGAATATATTAATGATCCCTCATCTCTTATGTCCTTAATTCCCTAGCAAAAAGTTCAGACATGTTTACTCTTTCAGATACCTTTCCAAGCACCATTACTATGGTAGTAGCGATGCACTTGATAGTAACCTAAGGTATGAAGGAATGTATGTATCTTCTAGACTTACAAGCGGAGCCTGACCTGGCCCAGGTCCAAACAACTAACATACTTGGGCATAAAGACATTTCATTCTTTAAATGCCTTAGGATGCTAAATTAGATTACTATATTTGAGTTTCTCTTCAGATTCTCACCATCATTTTGCAGTGCTCCAAATCCGGTCACAAACATCTCATCACCTGGGCGGAACTCATAGGAGGCATCAGGGAGACAAACTCTATGTACCGCATTTGTGTAGGGAACAGGGCTGGAAAGCTCTGCAACTGAAATATCATAGTCGTGTGATGGATATTTGTATTTTTCATGCACAATTACCCTCCGGATGCCTTGTTTCATTTTAGAAGGAAATAGTGTCACTCCAAAGGAGGCAGTCCATCTGGTTGGGTCCTTATACCTGGGAAGGCAGCGAGGAAGAATAAATTTTACTTTGCCATGCTACCAATATAATGGTTTCCATGAAACAATTTAATCTGTCCATATGAGGTGTTTTTTAAATTATAGTTTCTATGTATAGAAACAATCTGAGAATCTGGCTCATGGGTCAGATCAGGTAGAAACACCACAATGGCATGTATCTTGCTACTTTTCATGCTGAGTTACCACTCCAGACCTTAGGGCCTTATGACATTTCTGGCATCAGTAACTCCGAGGAATATATGGAAAGCATATCCTGTACAGGATGAGAGAACTAAATGCATTCTACACGCACCATGTCACCTACCCCCACAAACATACACATTTCTCTGAAAACCAAAAAGACTGCATAATAATTTAACAAAGCATTACAATCCTATATACTGTGGGCATTTTACTCCAGGTTAAAAAGTTTTTATCCCTTGGAATATAACTAGCCAACCTATTCAGTTGTATAATTTGTTGCTACCAGGTTTCTTCATATTTAATTCTTATCATGGGAAACTCCCCCATTGGAGTCAAACCTACATCCCACCTAGTCTCCATCTCTCTTAGATATGCAACAGAGAGCTATAGCTCTTCTCATTGATATCAAGCTCAAAGTCCAAAGATGTCTTAAAATTCCTGCTTCCTCTGACAAATTACTGTGCGCTTTTCAATGGATAATTTACCTAGATGCACTTTGATGCCATTTCCATTTCCAGACTATAAAACCTTTTACTAAGGTTTAAGAGTTTCCCACTCTCTTTGTGATGTGTATGTTCTTTAATATATACTAAACTCATCTCACTTAAGCGTCATAAGGTATTTTCTTCTTGCCAAGCCCCAAAGCAATCTGCTTACCCCCAATCACTCATGAGGTTCAGGACTTACATTCTGAAGCAGTGAGCGGCACTCACAAGCCATGAGCCATTAATTAAAGTTGCTCCACAGCGATGGATCCCATCCAGTTGCAGGCTAGCTTGCCATGGCCATTCACCCTCTTCCACCTGTGTCCCACCAACAATCCTGACACTCTGTTTTGTACTTTTATTCTTCCGAGTCCCACAACCTGCCCAAGAGAGATGATGCATTAGTTAGTGGTTGCTTTTAAGTTTCAAATTGTGTTTTTGTGTTCCAAGTTTCTCATACTTTGAGCTCCAGTAGTATCAAACATTTTCTCTTGTTTTTCCCTCTCCTCAAACTGTTGTGTTTCATTATTTAAATCCCATTCATGTTGTAAGATTGAAACTAGTCATCATCACTTCCTCTAGGATGCTGTCTCTAACAATTCCCCATCCTCAAACTGGATTAATTATAGCTTTCTTTAGTACCTCCATTAAAAAAAATGATACTCTATATATTGTATGTGCATATACCTCTCTCCCTGTGGTGTTTATTACAGGGTTTCTCAACCTTGGAAGTATTGACAATTGGGATGAATAGTTCTTAATAGTTGTGGGAGACTGTCCTTTATATACTAGTAATAGGATGTTTAAAAGGACCCCTGACCTATACATACTAGATACCAGCAGCGCACATGCACACAGACACACACACACACACACACACACACACACACACACACACACAAAATCATGATAAACAAAAATGCCACCATAGGGCATAATTCTTTGGGGGTCAAAATTGCCCTTGTTTGAGAGCTATTGTTGTAGAGTTATGCACTAGTTCATGCACTAGTCCCTGTACATATAGCCCCATTAGAGTATGAGCTTCTTTTTGCAGGGATATTATTTCATCCTTTATATCCTTATTGCCTACCACAGCACTAGCACATAGTAGGTTCCTAATAAATATTGGTGACAAGAATATATTTTATTTAAGTAATAGGATTATCCTTTGGTCTCATGCCTAGTTAAATTTATGTATCAACCAACATTCTGAGCTTATGAGTAGTATATTTCCTTCCATCTTTTAAGATAAATATATTCTGTACTTGTTATATAACTATCTAATGTACTCTCTAAATCCTGATGCAATACTCTGCTATGAGGGAAGGAAATTCTAGGTCTAGAGTCAGAATTTTTAAAATACAGGTAAAAAATGTTATCTAGGCCTTCAGTAATGTCATCAATATACACTCCAGCCCTATGATTGCCTGTGATTTCCACAATATGGGATTAATCAAGAAGATTTTATTTGCCCTAGCCAGTTTGGCTCAGTGGATAGAACATCGGCCTGCAGACTGAAGGGTCCCAGGTTTGATTCTGGTCAAGGGCACAAGCCCAGGTTGCAGGCTTGATCCCTGGTAGGGGCTTCCCGGAGATAGTGATCAATGATTCTATCTCTCTTTCCCTCTCCCTGCCTCTCTGAAATCAATAAAAAATATATTTTTAATAAAGAAGATTTTATTTTGTGTAGAATAACAAGTTTCTTCCTCTAGCGGAAAAAAACCGACATTCAGATTACTTTTCTATAATCTTTAGAAAACTTTTGTGAAAATATATTATAGTTATCTTCAATCAGAACATTAAGAAATATTTTTGCCTCTTATTTAACAACTGCATGATTCACTTCCAATACACATGTGCCATGAACACCCATACATCCACTCCAAAATTCCCCCAATTTTGTTATTCTTTAGTAATAAAATGTGCCTCAGAGGTAAGCTAAAGCACCATGAGCTGTACACAGAACACTCAAACTTTATTCTGACCCTTAATACCACATAAAGTAAGCCTAAATAATCTAGTGTTAACATTTTACATTCAAGTCATGTGATTTTAATAAATATATTAAACTTACAGTTGTTTAGAAAGTTGTCCGTTTCTGTCTTGTTGATTTCTGAAATACACAGAAATGGTGAACAGGGTCAGCTCATCAGAATTGCATAATGCCTCTGAATACTTCAAATACTAAAGGCTGGTTTAATTCCATTTTAAGATAATATATCTCTAGGTTGTAAAGAAAGCAACATAGTTATTTTATCATAGACATAATATGTTCACTGCCTGAGGGAAAAGAGAGATCTGAACAGTGTTTCTTAAACTTTAGTGAGGATAGAGTAACATAAGGGGAGCACCTTCATAATATAAATACCTGTTTCTCTTTCCAGTAATTCTGATTCAGTGATTTTGTGTTGAAGCCCAGGAACATGAGTTTTATACCAGGAAATAAGATGCATGTGGACCACAGTCTCTTTGAGGGAAATAATGGTCTGAACCACAGTTTTGATTGACCAAATGCAATGATATTATTTTTATTGGCCACTATTGCAGATTATTTTACTAAAGCCATAGGCATAGTCCCATTTGTACAACAACCACGTGGCATTTCCATAAATTAGTTCTCATGCCCATTTAAAACCAATGTTCTCTCTTTACTAGTATAAGTCTTCCTTCTGCCAAAGTTTTAGCAAGGCGATTTGCCTTCACATCCTCATTTGACTCTAACCAATGGCTCCTTAGCTCGTTGACTTCTCAACATTAGACAGAGGGCAGGGATAGTCCCCAGACGCCAGGTTTCCTGTGTGAACCAGAGGGTGCTTAAAAAGGAGGCAATGACATTCTAGTAGACATGAGCAACCAATGCACTCTAATATATTCTTTCTTGCTCTCATTATTCTTGCTATTGACCAACAGTTTCTGCTGGAAATAATGGCATAGATAATAATAAATAATAAATAATGAATAATGAGTAATAAATAATAATATTTAGTAAATAAATAAGCCATCCTTCCTTAAGCTAAAGGTAGAGAACGTTTTTAAAATGTGCATGTGTCAACAAGGGAAATAAAAAAGCTCATGTTAGCCTTGTGTAGTGTTATCATTGACCTGGTAAAAACTGAAATATATATATGTATGAGCTGTGAAATACAGTTGTATACTTTTTGTGATTCCATGTAAAAACGAAATGCTCTTATATTTGCATTTAAAATTGACATTTCACAGAATGAATGTGAACAGTAAAACTCATGCTAATAATTTTAATTTTTTTACTTTAAATGACATTAAGAAATAAAAACACCATGACAAAACAAGAGACCATGCGAGAAAAAGGCCATTAGAGGACTTATATTTGATTGCCTTTAACAGCCCTTTTTTTTAATTACTTTTTGAAGAGTGCAACTTTCTCTTTTCCACTGGGCCCCACAAATTATGTAGTAGCCCTGACTAGTGAAGTCTCCTTTGTAAGCAAGTAAGGTAGCTGGCCATCAAGTTAAGCCTCTAGTGAAGTCTACCAGCTTTTATATTTGCACTTTGTACTTGTTCCCTAGGGTCTCATTTCTAATACTACCAATTCCCATATGGTACCACTAGCCACATGTGCCTAGTGAGCTCTTGAAATGTGGCTTATCTAAATTGAAACGCACTATATATATAAAATATACACTAGATTTCAAAGCCTTAGTATTATATATATATATATATATACTAGAGGCCCGGTGCACAAAAATTTGTGCACTCGGGGGGTGGGGGGTCCCTCAGCCTGGCCTGTGCCCTCTCGCAGTCTGGGACCCCTTGGGAGATAACGACCTGCTGGCTTAGGCCTGCTCCCAGGTGGCAGAGGGCAGGCCCAATCCCTAGGTGCAGCCCCTGGTTGGGCTAAGAGCAGGGACGATTGGGGAGTTGGGGCGCTGCCCCCTGTCATGCACAGAGCAGGGCGAATTGGGAGGTTGCGATGCCACCCTCAGTCACACTCAAGGCAGAGTCGATGGGGAGGTTGTGGCGCCACCCCCTGTCACGCACAGAGCAGGGACCATCAGGGGGTTGGGGAGCTCCCCCCTGTCACTCACAGAGTAGGGCCAATAGGGGAGTTGGGGCACCGCCCCCTGTCACACACAGACCAGGGTGGATCAGGGGGTTGGGGCTCCGCCCTCTATCACCCACAGAGCAGGGCCGATCAGAGGGTTGGGGCGCCACCACTGTCACACTCAGGGCAGGGCCGATGGGGACGTTATGGCTCTACCCCATCACACACAGAGCAGGGCCCGTGGGGGGGCGGGGTTGGGGCACCACCCTCTATCACCCACAGAGCAGGGCCGATCAGGGGGTTGGGGCGCCTTCACCTGTCACGAACAGAGCAGGGCCGATAGGGAAGTTGTGGCTCTGCCCCCTGTCACACACAGAGCCGCAGGGTAATCAGGGGGTTTGGGCGCTGCCTCCTGTCACACTGATCCCGGTGACGGGAGGCCTCTCAGCTCTGCTGATCCCGGTGTTGGGAGGCATATTACCCTTTTACTATATAGAATAGAGGCCTGGTGCACAGGTGGGGGCTGGCTGGTTTGCCCTGAAGGGTGTCCTGGATCAGTGTGGGGGTCCCCACTGGGGTGCCTGGCCAGCCTGGATGAGGGGATGATGGCTGTTTGCAGCTGGTCACACACCCTTCAGGGTGGGGGTCCCCACTGGGGTGCCTGGCCAGTCTGGGTGAGGGGCTGAGGGCTGTTTTCAGGCTGGGACTGAAGCTCCCCACTGCTCCTTTTTTTCTTTTTTCTTTTTTTATTCTGGGCCAGCTTTAGCTCTGAGGCTCCAGTTCTTAGGCCTCCGCTCCTGAAAGCAGGTATCTGGTTTGTTTCGGTTCTCGAAACTCTGTATCATCTCCAGCTCTGAGATCCCAGCTGCCTGAAAGCTGGTTTCTGGGGTTTTGTTTAGCGTCTGTATTTGTTACAATGTTTGAAACTGCAGGCTCAGAGGCCTGCAGTGGCAGGCAGGGAACATTGGAGTCCTCTGTCACTGAAGCAAGCAAGCCTCATGTTAGTTTCAAACTGCCTGGCTGCCGGCCGCCATCTTGGCTGACAGTTAATTTGCATATTGCCCTGATTAGCCAATGGGAAGGGTAGCGGTTGTACGCCAATTACCATGTTTCTCTTTTATTAGTGTAGATATATATGCACATATACAGTATATGCATATATACATATACTAGAGGCCTGATGCATAAAATTCGTGCAAGGGACTCGGACCCCATAGCCACCGCAGCTGCTTCTGCCTCAGCCTCACAGCACCACGGCTTAGTCCAGAAGGTCATCTGGAAGGTTTCTGGTCTAATTAGCATATTATGCTTTTATTATTATAGATATATACTCATAATAATTTGTACAATGACTGTTGAAATAATACTATTTTATATATATTGAGTTAACTATAAAAATATTTAAATGAATTTCACAATTACTTAATGACAAACTTGCATGCAAGCCATAAGTTTTGGGTAGTATAAAAAATTAAAATACTTTATTAGGACCAATTTGGTCCCAAAGAAATGTTCTACTAGTGGCAAGACTCCATAATTAAAGGGCATCCAAAATAATTTTCTAAAAATCATTGCCCAAGACCAAACTTAACATGGAGATATTTTATGTAAGAGAATTAAACTAAGTAAGAAAAATAAACTTACTTTTTATTTCAACTGACTCAGGATCTAATTTAGGGGGCCCTACAGCATCATATAGCTTTTCATGTAGAACACGTTGAATAATTTTATTTATGGTTTCAGGATCCTCAGTAGAGCGAAATCTAAAAATCAGCAGCATGTGAGCCAACACTCCATTTTCCTCTTTACTGTGGACCAAAAAGAAAAAAAAAATGTGGTTTTAAAATATAGTTTAGAATAAAATTTATAGTAATAGCATATACTAGGGGCCCAGTGCACGAAATTCATACACTGGTGGGGTCCCTAGTGACTGCGGGCTGCCAGCAGTTACTCACTCCCTTCCCCCAGCTGCCTGCTGCCACTGTTGGCCTGGGGCTCCCTCCCTTCCCCCGGCCACCTGCCGCTGCCCCCTGGTCAAACTCCTAGACAACTCCCAGTCAGGGGGACAATTTACATTCTACACTTTTACTATATAGGATATTTTCTTTATCATTTTTTTGAAACACAAAACAAATCCATACATGTAATTTTAAAAGATCTAGTTTATTTTCTTCTATATTTCTATTGGTTACCACATATAGAACTCCCAACTCAGCCTCTCTGATAGTAATAAGCTAGTATGTTCATGGTTTCTATTACAACCAAAGGACCTAGTTAAGTACAGGGTTATTGATATAAAAAGACACTTCTCTTGTCAGCCATTCAAAATTATCAAATATAGCCTCACCGGTATGGCTCAGTTGCTGAACATTGACCTATGAACCAGGAGGTCACAGTTCAATTCCTAGTCAGGGTGCATGCATACCCATGTTGTTACTGGATCTCTAGTGGGGGAGGGAGGGAATGGGCAGGAGGCAGCCAATCAATGATTCGCTCTCATCATTGATGTTTTTATCTCTCTCTTCCTCTCCCTTCATCTCTGAAATCAATCAAAAAGTATTTCTTTAATTATCAAGTATGATGTTTACTGAATATGAAATTAACTCTGGCTTTAGCTTTCAGGCTTAACTCCCAGTGACTTAAAACCAATAATTTTTCTCAAGCAACCTTCAGGCTCTCCTAAACAACTCCCAAATCCTAAGAATCTTAGAAAGCTTGACCAAACTATGTTGACTCTATGTGATTGTATTTTCAAGGTAGAGTGTTAATTAACCTTTGTTATTTGAATGAGTTACTGACTTGGATTCAGCCTTGACTACTCTTTCTCATTCTGTCAGCTGCTCCACCCCATGTTTTTCACATATGATCAATTCCCATAGAATCTTACTCCTACCTCTACATGGCATTAACTCTTACATAAATTGTAAATAGAATTATAAATTAGAATCTTATTTTTTGAGGTGAGTTTTTTTATTATAAATTTTATTATCCACCCTCTCTGATGCAGTATTTCTGCTTTTAGAAATTTAATCTTCAAATACCCTCTTGTATGTACAAGGAGATATGTATGCATATGTGCCGGGAGCCGGTCCATGCTTGCTGTTTCAAGGGACCTGGCATATATGGCATACTGTTCTTAATATGTTTGCTCACCTTCTTGGCACTATGTGTTTTAACCAAGGTCTCCTCTCTGAGAAGGTTGTTTCCCCAGGTAGGGATTTTCCCCTGAAGTTAGGGAGGGAATAAAACCTCTTAACTAAGTGCCAGGCAGGTAATTAATCACTTTAACTATGAACAATCATGCTTAAGCTACATAATCTTTACTCCCTGGAATGGAGATAAGAAACGCCCTAACCTTTGGAATAGAGATTGATAGGATTGGAATCAACTGGTATAAATACAGATGTAACAAGACAGAACTAAGAGAGACAGAACCTACACACAGAACTTAGAAGACAGAACCTACACACAGAACTTAGAAGACAGAACTTAGGACACAGAACCTAGACACAGAACCTACACAGAACCTAGAGACAAAAGAACTTCGCTGGAGAGAACATGGCAAAAGATCCTGGACAGAACCTGGCTACAGAACTTGGTTGGAGAACCTAGACAGAACCTGGCTGGAGAACCTGGACAGAACCTGGCTGGAGAACCTGGCTGGAGAACCTAGAGAACCTAGCAAGAGAACATGGACACAGAACCTGGCTGGAGATCCTGACCAGAACTTGGCTAGAGATCCTGGCTAGGCTGCTGATCAACTGAACGCTGTCTCCGTGTCATTCCTTCTTTGCTGACTCCGTCCACACCTTTGGGGACCCCTGGACCCGCTGGGGTTGGACCCCAGTACATATGTTCATCATAACCTTGTTTTTAAATCCAAAAATATGTAACAACCCAAGTGTCCATCAAAAGGGCATTGGCTACGTTGACCCTGACACATACTTGTAGTGAAATACTATACAGCCAACTAAAAAATGGAATAGATGTACATTCAGTCATTGAAAATATGTGCAAAATAGACGGTTAAGAAGATGAGTTCTTTCTGGAAGTGGAATTATTGGAGAGGGAGCTTTCAGGTTCTATTTATGCAATACTGTGTTGTTGAACTGTGTATCTTTTTGTATTGCTTTTGTAATCTGAAGAAACAAATAGGGCTTTAAAGAGATTATTGTTATGTATCTCATTGCCTTTCAGCAACCCCTCACATCAATTATTTCTTCTTCAGTCTCTTAAAATATTCCTATACTGGATGGCTTATAGAAACAAAAGCAAACAAAAACCTCTCCCTACCCCAGAAATTCAATGTATCTCTCACCTTCTTATCACAATAAACCTTCTTGAACGGATAAATTACATTCTACCTCATATTTACTTCTTTGCACACTGCTTCCTCCCCTCCCCTTCCACTGAGTCTTTCTTCTACACTAAATGACTTCCTCATTGACTCAGACATCAGTCAATTCTTTCAGTCTCTTCTTGAATTTTGTGCATCTGTCATGAATTTTCTTTTTTTTTTCTGCTTCTTCCCTATTGCCTAGGTTCTTATTTTTTGTGAATCTCCTTACACATGTTTGTTCTTCATCAAGCTTTTTTTCATCAAACATTCTTTTTATCTTTCATTACCCTTTTTTTGAGAAATTTCATTTATACCCAAGTTAGACTCATATTTCAGGCTCATATGGTTCCCTAGCATCTCCATTCAACATCTCTAAGACTAACTTTATCTTTCCAACACACTTTACTTCTTCCTACTGCAGTAACAGAAAAAAACATAATGAACAGTAAGGTTTGTAGGGTGAAGAAATAAATTGGAAAGTGACTGGGGAGATAGAATTGGCATAACTTTGTTATCCATGTGTGAGTGGTCCAGGAAAGAAAGGAGTGTATGATGACTCCTAAGTTTCTCATTAGACTGTGTTTTCCTTGACTCCAAGATATTTCTGTGGAACTTCCATGTGGAAATGTCCTTGGGCAGGCATATAGTTCTAGAAGCCAGGAAAATAGTTTAGACTGGAAAAATACACTTGGATTTCAATAACACATGTGGATGCAGTCCTCTTTAGAGAGAAAAAAATTAAGGATTAGAGATCCAAGAAAGAATAATATTTCAAATACTAAAGAGGACAGAATTTTCAGGTGAAAGTGAGCAAAGTAACACCTCAAAGACGTCAACAAAGTAATAGACTAAGAAGTGAATCTTGGAGTTTTGTCATTGAAATAATATTGGAAAGAGTTCTTATCCTATTTTTGAAAAATACAAGTAATTTTCATTAAGACAATATATTATTTAAAATCCTCATATAGTGCTTTGCATAAAATGTGCTCTGAATTTCTATTTATTCACAGTTGATAGTCAGATCTAAGATCTTAAATACTTGGAGCAGAAAGGGTAAAATAAAAAATAGCAAAGAAAATTGATAAGGAAAACCAAGAGATGAAGACAAAGCTTATCTACTTACACTATTTACTATTAAACCGAAAGATGTGGTAGGTGCCTATTTGTGCTAGAATTTGCCAAAAAAAACAACCCCATAATTCTATAACATAGCCACCAATAATATTTCTGAAACTCTCAATCATCTTGAAAATGCTTTCTTTTGCATTTAGAAAATCAGCAAGACACATTGTAACCCATGACTTACACAGAATAGGTGAGAAATGAATATTTGTGAAATTGAATTACATCATATTATAACACTTTAAACAGCATTTGTAAACTGATTACATCAACAGCTTTAGCTTTAATTTGTATTCTGAAGTAAGTTAGATCTACATACCTGAATCTGATAATGTGAGACATGACGAATTCTCCCCTCAATGAAGATTTATGAAATGCATTTCTCACCTGTTCCAAAAAATATTCAAATTATTCCAGCAACAATTCCTTGAAATTCTGCAAGCTAATTTAAAGTTTACATTTTTTTTTTCAATTAAAAACAAAACACAATGACCAACATATCACCATGTGCCAAACTTGAGGACCCTTTTTTAGTATTCTACTCAAGTGATTTCCACTGAACTCTGCCTTAGGACTTATAGGAGCTGGGGAACCATTAGAGAGGGGTCTGAAGTGACATCAGTTGTACTACACTCAAAAAGAGATAAAAGAGAATAAACAGACTGTTTTTTGAAAAGTAACAGTCAATATTCACATCCTGAGATATAGATAAAAGTATACAAGGGAAATGAATTAATTCTGCCAACTAGTAATTGGGTTAGAGATATGAGTGCATGAGTGTCACATGGTTTCCAAACCTGGTGAAAAACTTACCCTATATAATAAAAGGCTAATATACAAATCTACCAATTGATGGAAGACCAGTTGCTATGATGTGCACTGAATGCAGGAGCTGCCCCCCAGTGGTCAGTGCGCTCCCACAGGCTGGTGAGTGCAGTGGGGTTGATGGGAGCCTCTCCCATCTCCACAGCACATCTCTAAGGACCCCTCGGGGGATGTCCACCTGCCTGCTCAGGGGGAGCAGGCCTAAGCCAGCAGACAGACATCCCCCAAGGGGTCCCAGACTGTGAGAGGGCACACAGGCAAGGCTGAGAGACCCCCCCAGTACACAAATGTTGTGCAACAGGCCTCTAGTATATATATATATACATACTGAGTGGCCAGATTATTCTGACCACCTGACTTTTGTAGGCAAATTAGCTATAATTTCGCACTGAAGTTGCTAGAGGGCCAGACCATTATAAATAGGGGAGCAGGTTGTTTACCACGACAGTAGAAGTGATTTTTTTCTGAAGATATGGGCAAACAACACGATTTAACAGCCTTTGAATGTGGGATATATTTGAACGTGAGTGGCCAGATTATTATAACCACCCCATCAGTACTTCATTGGGCCACCTTTTGCCTTCAATACTGCGGCGATTCTTCTTGGCACTGACTCCATGAGATGTTGAAAGGTGATGCGAGGAATCTGACACCATGCCTGATGAATAGCACTGTCCAGTTCTGTGAGATCTGATGGTTGTGGAACCAGCTGCCTGATGGCTCTTTTAACTTTGTCCCACAAATGCTCAATTGGATTGAGATCTGATGATTGTGGGGGCCACCTAAGCAAGGTAAAGTCTCCCTCATGTTCTTGACACCACTCCAGCACAATACGAGCACCGTGGTATGGCGCATTGTCTTGTTGGAAGGAGCCACCTCCATTGGGATATGCCATCAACATGATAGGATGAACTTGATCAGCAATGATACTTAAGTATGCTGTGCTATTCAGACGTTGTTCCACATGAATTAAAGGGCCCAAATCATGCCAGGAAAACATGCCCCAACCATAACACTGCCCCCACCAGCTTGAAGGGTTGTACTCATGCATGTGGTGTGCATGCTTTCGTGCTGTTTACGTCAAATTCTCACTCTGCCATCTGCATGATGCAACTGGAAATGATTCATTGGACTACATGACTTTTTTCCAGCGCTCGACTGTCCAATCCTTGTGTTCCTGTGCGAATTGGAGACGTTTTATCTTGGTAACTGCAGACAGCAAAGGTGTTCGAACAGGCCTTCGGCTTCCATATCCCATACGATTCAGTGTATGGCTAATTTGCCTACAAATGTCAAGTGGTCATAATAATCTGGCCACTCACATTCAAATATATCCCACGTTCAAAGGCTGTTAAATCACATTGTTTACCCATATCTTCAGAAAAAAAATCACTTCTACTGTCATGGTAAACAACCTGCTTCCCTATTTATAATGGTCTGGCCCTCTAGCAACTTCAGTGTGAAATTATAGCTAATTTGCCTACAAACGTCAGGTAGTCATAATAATCTGGCCACTCACTATATATATATATATAGATATCTATATATCTATATATATCTATATATATATAAAGCAATATATATATATATATATATATATATATATATATATATATATATATATATATATTGCTTTAAAGAGGAGCTTATTCAGATATTTCCCTGACTTGGTGTTTACAAATACAACCAAGATTTGACCTCCTCCTCAGCAAGGTGTACGAATCCTCAGGCTTCTAGTCTACCGGGCAGTATCCAAGCGACTCACTGCCATTCTGTTTTTACTTGGGGTGTTGGAACTGGAAGACGATTTGGAAATGATCCAGTCTTAATGCCCTAATATCCACATAAAAAAATTTGTCCAGCATAATAAGTGATGCCCCAAAGAACACATCACTAGCTAGTACATGGTATTGAAAATAGATGTCCCAACTCCTAGCCTAGGGGGCTTTCTCTCACATCATACCACTAATTACCTCACAAAATATCAGGAAACATCTAAATTTTTCTCTAAGTAATCTGACAATAAGAAGTCACCACCCAGGCCCTTGCTCTTTTGGCCAATAACACTTATTTTTCTACTTCTTAAAATATTTCATTCATCCCTCAGGATAATGTTGATGCCTTCGTGATAGAATGAGTACCCATGGATTTCTTATGCACTTATTACCAAAAACTGGTCCAAGATTAGATTTTTAAATACGAAAATACTATTCAAGTATGTGTTTCAATAGTTTTAATCTGGTGGTCTTTTGCTCAAGGTTTCTTCTTTAAGAAGTCTAGGATACATCAACCCTCACACTCCCAGAATTTCTGGATTTTGCTGATTAAGCATGTAGCCCTAGCTAAGGACGGGTGAGTAGGAGAAACATAAAGAAATGGCTAAGGTCATTTGGTTCAGTTCTGCACATCATACTCTCTGAAATCATGAAAATTGTGATTTTGTTTTATATCCCTTAGGGAGGGGGCTCTTCTTATTTTGCAAAGATATGCAAGATCAGTGGAATAGATGTTGTAGAAGCTAAGGTACTAAACATTATGGTTAAAAAAGTGAGGGCCCTGGAAATGGAGAAGAAAAAATGCTTACCATTGATTCAATTCTCTGGCTCATTTCTGTGAAATTTTTAGAAGCCTCTCTTTCAAAATCATCATACAGTTTGTCACTTGTAAATGACAATGTACTATAGTAATTGTAGGTCTTCCTTTGATCTACAAGAAAAGAGATAAAATCCCATCATAATTTTTATCAGATGTGTGTGAAGCCTTATCATTTTCCCATTTAGTGGTTGCTGGAAAGGTTGAGGCTGGAAATAATGTTTGTACCCATGTCGGCATCTGCATCATCCTGCCCTAAGCTTCATGATTATCTCAGAAGAAAAGACAACAACATTAATCATCATGAGATTTAGAGTGTAAAAGCCATAAGAAATGCTTGGTGTTCCTGTGGGTTAATTAGTCATGTGTTATCCATTCCTGAACAAGCAACAGGAGGTAGCAAGTCACGCCATCTGAGCAAACACACATGGATGGATTTAGAAACTTCTCAAGAGTAAATGCATTTTTTTATTCCAAAAGTAGGTTTCTTCCATAATTCTGGCCATAGGACTCTAGGGTAAGAATATTTACTTTGACTAAGGAATAAGATGAAGATAGGGTTTAAAATGCTAGGAGTTCAGTATATAGTTTAAGAAGCTAGAGCTGCCACCTGGCATACACTTCCAGGGACACTATTTAGTTCCACCTGGCTCCCTTTTCACACTACTTATTTTCTTTCCCCTGACAGCCACAGGAATTGGAGCTTGTCGGCTTCCTTAGCCATTGTCTCCATTTGTGCATTTAGTTTAAGCAGCCCAGATTGGGGCCTGCTGAAGAATTCATTCAGGAAAGCGTTTCATCTACCCCATGATACACAAAGCAAGCACAGAGCCCTCAGAAAATTCATTAAACAAATATTAATGCCATCTACCTTTTCTGTGAGGGACTCTGTACTGAGCATTAGAAATACAATGGTGATCAAGACTATTGTGTATGGTTATCACAGGAAAATGGAGCGTGTTTCACCCAATCTCAAGCTCTCTGCTCTTCTCTGTTGCTTCTTATATGTTCCCTTTGCACTTAAACCCCAAGGAAAATAAAACTAACATTGGACACCTGTGTCCCAGACATACTCACATATCTCGTTTAATTTATAATAACCCTCATGGGAAGGCAGTATTATCCACATTTATCAGGCACAGGATATAGCCTCAGAAATGTGAATAAACTGCCTAACCTCAACATGAATAGCCAGAAAAAAAAACACAGAACAGGGCTTCAACCTAAGGTCTAACTCCCAAAGCACAAATGTTCTTTACATACTGCTTCTTGGGGTGGAAGCAAACAAACAAAACCACTCATTGAAGCTATAAGAAAAATATCTTGTTATATGCAACTTACGCAAAATAACTCCTGGTAAATTTCAAAAGAACGTCATGGCCATCAATCAGACTCTAACAAGGTCTGGAGTGACACATGAAAGAGAGGGAAGTCAGGCTGGAGAGACTGAAGGGTCAAGGTCTGCTGAGCATTAGCCACCTAAATGAGGTACTGGAGAGTTTTTACCTTCCTCCCTGCTTCCTCACCTCCCTTCCCTAAATGGCCAGTGCAAGCTGAAATGCAGGCAGAGCCCTGGAAATGTACACAATTTTAAGTAAGGTTTCTAATCTATTGAAATATTGACCGATAGTTTCCCTTAGGTCTGAATTTGGGCCCAAGACTCTGCATTTTTTCTAACAAGCTCATCCATCAAGCACTAGGCTGATGCTGCTGGCACCCAACCGCATGTTGAATAGTAAGGTTCTAAAAAGGAAAAGAACAGACTCTTCTATATCCTTAGACCTGTTTTGGTGCTGTTTATTTAATCATTAGATTAAATCAGTGGTTCTCAACCTGTGAGTCTCGACCCCTTTGGCGGTCAAACAACCCTTTCACAGGGGTCGCCTAAGCCCATCCTGCATATCAGATATCTACATTACGATGCATAACAGTAGCAACATTACAGTTATGAAGTAGCAATGAAAATAATTTTATGGTTGGGTCACAACATGAGGAACTGTATTTAAATGGCCAGAAGATTGAGAACCACTGGATTAAATCATTTAAAATTGCCGTTCGTATAGGTCAAAAATGGTCAAATATCAGCAATTCCATATACTTCAACCAAATAAACAATTATCTGTAGTCAATATTTTACTTTGATCAGATGACTCAAACAGATCACTAAGTGTCAAAACATATTCCCAATTGTCAAAATTATATGGCATGTGTAGTTGTTGAAGAATATCATTGGGAATGTTAACAGAAAAGTAAAAAAAAATAAGGAGGAGCATAAGTTTTCTAACAGGTTTGTGATCCTATAACCTACAATGATGTTACTTATAATAGATTCACCTTCTGTCATTCAAATCACAGAGGGGACAGGAATGCAGCTTCAAAGGCCCGTGGACACACACCACACACACAAATCTGCGCTGTCCTGGGCTTTATGCCAAAACAATGTTTTTTCAAGTCTGATCACTTCCAGCTTTATCTATCTGTTTCTGTAATAGATTTGTTTGGTTTAGCTGTGTTATCTAGGTGTACCATCTCCAAGTGCACATGTGCTATATCCACTCACAGAGGGCAGGTCGCAATTATGACAGTAACACACATCACAACAATCGTTTATTCAGGTGTGCTGTGTGGGCAGTAGAAACTGTGTTCCATATTACTCAACTGATCATCCAAACAATAGGATCCAGGAACAGGTTACTGGAAAAATCTTGCCAGGTTTTCACTGTATGCATATGAATAAGATTTTAAGCCTCTATAAACACTTGGCGTGGGAAGAAGCAAAGGAGAAAAATAAGAAACATTTTCTTTCACTCAGGTATGGAGACCCCTAGTATTACTTGGGATTCCTTATGAAGTCAGATAAGCCAAAATATGCCCCTAGAAAATATCATAGGTATGACTCACTTGTTGTTTTTCATTCTGTATTTAATAGACATTAATTAAGTTTCTAATATGTGCAAGAATCCTCTTAATTTCTGAAAATACAAAAATGAATGCAATGTAGTCTTAGGCATCCATGAAGAAGAGTGATAATGCTTACAACATCATGGGACTCAATATATTCATAACAGAATTATAGGATTGTGAAGTTATTTCAGCTACTATTTTTTTATTAAAAACAAGCTCCAGAAAAATTTTCAAAATGCAAACACTTCAAATTCAAAGACCTGCATGTGGGGAAATTCTACCAAAAATAATCTTTACATTACTTTTTTTTTCCTTTAAACTGCTCATTAATGATCCATCTTGCTTGGATAATTAAGACTGGATTGTGTCTGCTAGCAGATCACTAAATTACAGACAACCATTTCTCTTTACAAGAAAGAAACTTCTGCAAATTCCCAATTAAATTAGAATCAAGTTATTAGCCTCTTTAGTTACAGGGTCTTGAACATCAAAGCATTATCTAGTCAGTAAGGGATATATTAAACCAATAGGTCATAGTGGAGTCAACTAATTAAAACCTGAGGCAAAATAGAAGGAAACTTCAGAAGGGTTGTCGTGCACTTAAAAAACAGTTCTGGAGTACCCTGGGGATCTTTCCAATAGCACAGCAGTGTTCATGTTTCATTCAGCAGTGAGGTACCCAATTACTGCAGAGTGAATCTCCTTATAATTAGCCTTCTCAGCAGATCCTGTCCTCTTTACTCACTTATAATACATCCCAAGATGAGATTTAAAATAACAGAAATAAACATTTCTTCAATAATATATCACTCTGAACATTTTTCTAACTTACCAGCACAGAATAGAGCCTACTTATTTTTTATAGTCCCTGATTATGTGATTAATTAATTGGGCTGTCAGGATTTCAATGAGTTATAATTATTTTATTTTTATTTTATTTTTTAAATATATTTTATTGATTTTTTACAGAGAGGAAGGGAGAGAGATAGAGAGCCAGAAACATCGATGGGAGAGAAACATCGATCAGCCGCCTCCTGCACATCTCCCACTTGGGGATGTGCCCGCAACCCAGGTACATGCCCCTGACCGGAATCAAACCTGGGACCCCTCAGTCCGCAGGCCGACGCTCTATCCACTGAGCCAAACCGGTTTCGGCGAGTTATAATTATTTTAAATCAAGGTGATTGCCCTATAACCTCAAACAACTCAAGCCACTGGACTCTAGCTATCCTATGGTCTTCCCCTAATTAAGAGTTGATTATTAATGAATATAAAAATGAGCATGCTGTTCCCAGTAGGAAGCATTGCTTCATTAAAGATGGAAGAAAGAATCTGCTTGGCTCGTGAGGATTAAACATGAAACAAGGCAGGTAAAGCGTTCTTCATACCAGCTATGCAAATGAATTGTAGTAATGAATGAATAAGCCTGTGGCTAACCAAAACAGGAATGTACAGGAGGAAATATTTGGGGTAAATCACATGATGCCAGGGCAGCCCGTACTTACTGTATCTCACATAATGAACAATGAGTCCAATGCACACGGCCAGGACAATCAGGGATAAAAAGGTGATGAGGCCAATCACCCATGGCTTCACACACTCTCTCTTCGTGGCCCTGGCCACAGAAGACCTGAGAAAGAAAGCAAATGGGTGAATTATATCACAGTGCACACTGTACCCACTTCTTGGGTAAAACAGATATTCCTGAGGAATTCAGGACACTCAAACAGATGATAGAATACTGTTTTGTTTAAAACACACCCTGGGTCCCAGGTTGCTAAGCCAGTCTGGCTCTGGTTGCCTGACTTTTGGCAAGTAATTTGACTTCTCTGTGCCTCAGTTTTCTTGTCCATAAAGCAAGGATGATAATGGTAAACCTATCTCATAGAATTGTTGTAAGGATTAAATAAATTACTTCGTGTAAAATGCCTACAACAGTGCCTAACATGTAGAAAGTGCTATGCAAATGTTAGCCATGATTTATTGTGCTGTCTGTGTGCAGGACAGAGTTAGCACTGTAGGAGCTATGGAAATGTTTAAAGCCTGTTTCTACTCCTCTAGAATCTAAAACTGCCCAAGAAATGTGTTGCAGCTTTAATCGTACCAGGTTCCAGATAGAGTTTCTAATTCAATCTCTTTCTGTTTTTCTGATCTATATCCAAACAAGCTTTCAGGATGCGCATAAAAGACAACCAGAGGTCTATTCTATAAAAGCTAAATGTTTGAGCTAATAGTTATCTCTGAACTTCAGTGATGCTGCAGGGAACCCCTTGATCATGAGACTCCCTCAGCCTCTCCCATTTGTTCTGCCTTCAGAACCACGTTACTGAAAAAATGTCTGTTAACCTTCTTTGTGCTTGATTAGTAAAGTTTCCGTTTCCTTGTGTTATAATAGTTACTAAGCAAACTCAAAGACTAGAGAAAATGAAATAATATGTCAGTTGGGTAAAGAGTTTGAATATGATGCTATTTTAAATTTCTTGAGGTATTTGTCATGCTGGTAGAATCAATGGCATGTATTCATACCTCCAGAGCACTGTCTGGTACATGAAGACTAGGGACAAGTATGGTGTTATTTTGGAGGGGGACCAGGGATTGAATCAAAATAAAGAGAATTCCAAGTCCAGCTCTTTCCTTGCCAGCTTGGAAAAATCACTTAGACTCTGAGCATAGTTTCTCAGTCTGACAATAGGGACAGAAGAATACCCATATTTTCAAAAGCATGAGGTAGACTGTGGAGCCCATAATGAAATCATGAATTTGAGAAGTTCTTGGAAACTGCAAAGCATTTTGCAATATATATATTGCAGAAACAAGGAGACTCTATTTCCACGTGATATATGGCCAAGAAATGATATCATTTTGGTCCCTGCCACACCATCATCCTGTCTCTGCCTCCATGTCCTGTTCTGTGTGAACATTATTGCAGAAGTCAACAATGGCACCATTGCTACATGACCCTGCCTCTGCTGAAGGCCTGGGGTATGGTGCAAGGCCCCTGGGACTCTACCTGGCCCTGTGACTTTCCCATGAGACTGTAGTCAAGGAAACTTCATCTTCCTCTACCCTATCTCTTCCATCACTAGTTCTCCCTTGAGTGGGATTCCAAACACCTGCTTCTACAATGGCAATTATTGAAATATAAAAAGAGTTCTCCACAGGAGGTTATTTTTATGTGCAACTGTGCCTAAGAAGCCTAAAAACTGAACTGACTACTGTTCCTTCATCTGTGAATGCTTGCTATTCACCTGTTGCAGAAGAAAGGAGATGCATATAGCAGACGTAAGAAAAATGTGGGGCATGGGGGGAGGGGACAGCCATAGGAGGGAAGGGCTTCTCTACTAATAGCAAAACATGCCAGATAAAGAATATGAATTTATAATGGCAGGAAATATGATCTAACTATAAAAGTATATGATCACTATATTGAATTGTGAAATATGACAGAAGTTCTATTTTATAACTTTTTATCAAGACAGAAAAGTAAATAATGCAGCCATTAGACTGATGGGGTAGAGCTACATGTATTAACATGTAAAAGGTCAATGACATATTTTAATGAAAAAATGATGCAGAAGAATATGTATTCTGTGTCTAGTTTCTATAAATAAAACTATATATGTGTGTGCATTGCAAAATATATAGGAAGAGACAAAAATTATAAACAGTAAGAAGTGGAATAACAGAAATGAGAGAAACCTTAATTTTAATGTGCTTTTTTGTGTTGTGGTGGATTTTTTCTAACAAGAGATATCATAGGTTTTGAATTAAACAAAAGAGAGAGAGGGGTTGAATTTCAAAAGATAATGAGAATGATTATATGCCTTTTCATGGAATTTCTGTCACTATCGTGCCCCAAATTACCAGTGTGTCCTCCTTTCCTGACCCCCACCTTTTACAGCTATTTCAGTGATGGTCTTTGGTGGCTTTGAATGAGATAAGAGAGGTAGCATGGGACAAAGAAAAAAGAGAAACCATCAAAAACACTTTGAATAAGCAAGGGAGTGTATTGCTGAGCCCCACCACCAATTTATTTATTGTCCATTCTTGTACCAGCAGATTCAATTCTCTCTTATTTCCTCCAAATGAAAAACAGGAATTATAATCCCAAACCCCTCCTAAACTCGTGAATTATGTGGAGATAAAAAATGATAAAATATTTTGTTATTTTGAGCTCCCAAGTAGAAAGTATTGTGCAAAAAGCAAGGACTATCATTATTATCATTATTTTAATTATTAATAATAATGGTAATAACCACATTACTGAGATGTTTGTCATTTGAAACATTATCTCTTCCCTTCCCAGTCTGCATGGCATTGCTTTTCAAACTGATTCACCCTGTTTCTTAATTGCTTTTTTGTTGCTCTCTCAGCAAGTGATTTAATACCGAATTGCTCCAAATTAGATGTGGTAGAGTGTGCTAAAAAATCATTAAAATGGAGGAATAAAACCATTTTATATGTCAACAGAAACATGTAATTAACCCCCTTCTGCACATAAACCCTTATCCAATCATCATTGTGGCCTGTTGAAACTTATCTGAAGTTCCTCCCATAAAATTACCTTCACATAGACTGGTTAATTCTAATAGCTTCAGTGGCATCAAATTTCTTTCTTTGTATTATTTTTCTTTTCCATTTGGGGACATGTGTGATTAGACAAAGAATATAGCAGGTGAATAAAACAGTTAAAATATGGGTACATTTTTATAAGCCCAAAATTGCTAAAAGACAAGTTATATGACCGGAGTTGCATTTTCATTGTCACTTTTTAATGAGTACTAAAAAAAAAAAAGGAGCCCAGCTGGTGTGGCTCAGTGGTTGAGCATCAACCCATGAACCACAAGGTCATGGTTCAATTCCCAGTCAGGGTGCATGCCCCATTTGGAAGCTTGACCCCCAGTAAGGGGGTGTGCAGGAAGCAGCCAATCAATGATTCTCTCTCATCTCCCTTCCTCTTTCTGAAAACAATAAAAATTGATTTTAAAAAATAAAGAGAAAGGCAAAACAACTACAACAAAAACAAGGGGAGAGGGGTATATACTAACAAATAAACTTTATGGTAAGCACTAGGGAATGAGAGGTTAAGACTCACAGTGCTTCAAAGGAAAGTTCATCAGAAAACCCCTACACAACACCACCACCATGGACTGATGGATAGAGGATCTCCAACTCTTTGCTCATTGTCTACAATGGTAAATAGCATGGATGTTCTTAGTTCACATGTTTCACCAGGTCAGTCCAGCTGAGCTGTTTTGAATGAACATGTGCACAATATCTATAAAGCTGGAGATACCAAAGCATTATTATCAACCATTTAACCCAGAGGTCAGCAAACTTTTCTGTGAATGTCCAAATAGTAACTAAGGCTTTCTGTGCCACACAATCTCCATTGCAGCTACTCAACTCTGTCGTTATAGTGCAAAAGCAGGCAAAGACAATACATAAACAAATGAGCATGTCTATGTTCCAATAAAACTTTATTTCTGTACACTGAAATTTGAATTTCACAAACCTTTGCTTGCCATGAAATATTTTTCTTCTTTTGATTTGTTTTCAACCATTTAAAAGTGTAAAAAGTCATTCTTAACTCAAGCACGGTACAAAAGCAGGTGGTAAGGCAAATTTGGCCTTTGGGCTGTAATTTACTGATGGTTGACTTAAGCAAGAGCCGGCAAGTCAATGCTAATTGCGTTGGGAAGCTATAATGGTCTTTTCTCTTTCTAGTCTCACTTTCATAGCAAATCTAGTGTAGTCTATCGCTAATCCCATTGTCACTGAACTTGTTTTGACAATTCTCACCAAAACCTGCCCTATAGCTTGACAAGAGATTTCTCTCTTGTCTACCAGTCTCTATATCATTCTCCATTATAGTAAGCTGTCTTTCTAGAAGGGATATGCTAATGCTGAGACTGCTTGAAACCCAAGTCGGCCTCAGTTTGCTTAGTATTCCCCCTCTGTCCCATGAGCTTTAAAGTTATTTGCCTTTGCTCCTGCTGCTTCTATGTGGAGTAACTTAGAGTCTTTTTTTAATATGCATATGTATAATTTATGTAAAACAAGTTACCAAGGTGGCCCACTCATACCTGAGTCCCTCCCCTTAGCTCACTCTTCCCCACGATGGCCCATTTGATCAGTGCACCAATACTGGAAAGTGCTGGGGGCTATTCGGGTGTGTGTGTGTGTGTGTGTGTGTGTGTGTGTGTGTGTAAGAGGAAGAACTTTTTGAAAGTTAATTTTACTAGTATTTTCATCTAGTAATATGAGCATATTGTCTAAAAAATGAAATGAGACTACTTACCAGTTGTCTTTAGCAATTGTTTTTTATTTACCTCTGAGTTTCTGAATAATGTTCTCACATAGAGTCTATTCTTTGCCTGCATCATAAAAGCCTGTGGGTATTTAAGAGCCAATTCAAAAAATCTATTCACTTCAGCTAAGTTTATTCATCCCCATCTCTGAATAAACAGCTAAGTATGCATTTTGAGCTCTTTGAGGATAGGGTCTAATCCTTACTTCTTTTTTCTTTTTCTTTTTTTCTTCTTTTTTTAAATCTTTATTGTTCAGATTATTACAGTTGTTCCTCTTTTTTCTCCCCATAGCTCCCCTCCACCCGGTTCCCACCCCACC